GGGAGACGGGTGTATCGGAATAGGCCAAGGTGAGTATTGATCGTTACGTACTGTCTCGATTCCTCATCCAAAAGCACTTGCTGGTACGCTGAAGACAAGTCCAGCTTGGTAAACTTTTCCCCTCCATTTAACTGGGTGAACAGGTCATCAGCCGTAGGCATTGGGTGTTCTGGTACATCCAAAACAGGGTTAATCGTTACCTTGTAATCACCACAGATTCGAACACTGCCGTCAGGTTTCAGCACGGGGACAATGGGCGTGGCCCAATCCGAAAAATCCACTTTTTCCAGCACACCGATCTTTTCCAGTCTTTGAAGTTCGTCAGCAATCTTCTCTTTTAACGCGAACGGTACTGGTCTGGGTTTAAAGAACTGCGGCACTGCGTTTTCTTTAAGCTTCAAATGTGCAGTAACTCCTTTAATGGTTCCCAGATTACCATCAAATAACGATGATTACTTCGTTCGAAGCGAGTCCAACTTGTTAACCGATTCTTAGGAAATCTGCTTGATCTGTCCCCAGTCCAACTTCAACACGGACAGCCAATCGCGACCCATTAACACTGGACCATCATTTCCTGTGATAACAACCGGTAATACTGCTCTTTGATCGCGGTATGCAACTTGAACTCTAGCTTCTCCAATAACAGGAATTTCATGACCAGAATAACTTCGTAGTTTCACGTCTATGCGTTCCACAGGTTTTGACGCGAGAACATCAGTCCAAATACTCTTGGGAATAATAGTTACAGAAGCTCCTTTGTCAAGTTCCATGTCCACAGTTTTCCCATTGATTGCTACTGGTACAATAAACTCTTTACGTGTTCCACGGGAATCTGAGACTGTAAAAATGGGCCAATCATTTCCGCTCACTGATTGCCTGACTGTCAGATCTTCTTCGACGAAACGAACCTTCTGCTGCTTCTTTTTTTTCCCAAATTTCGACTTTGCGCTCCACTTGTTCTTCCCATTTTCAGGTTTTTGCTCCTTCTGAGGACATTTCTTCACAATGTGACCCACATTTTGACAACCATGACACTTGGACTTGCGAAAGAAACACGTGTCCGACGAGTGATTGACTTTTCCACAAAGAAAGCACTCGGGAAATGTAGCTGCCACTTTTTTTATTTCTTCCACACTTCCTCCATGCAATGCAGTGGTTTCCTTTTCGGTCAGTTCCGCAGCACACGCCATCTCGATAGCCGTTTCGGTCAGTTCCGCAGCACACGCCATCTCGATAGCCGTTTCGGTCAGTTCCGCAGCACACGCCATCTCGATAGCCGTTTGTAAAGTTAAGTCCGCTACCGCGAGTAACTTGCGTTGAATCGTTCGATCCTTTAAACCACACACGAATCGATCCCGAATCGCCTCTTCGCGATAACCGCCAAACTCACAAGTCTCAGCCAACTTTTTCAATCTAGCAACGAAATCTCTTATTGCTTCCGACTCTTGCTGTTCCGCCTTGTGGAACTTGAAACGCTCGGCTATGACTATCGGCTTCGGATCCAGGTGCTTAGCCAAATCATCCACAATTTCCCCAAAAGACAAATCCTTCGGCCTTCTTGGAGATACAATGCTTCTAAGTAACGCATACATCTTATTACTCATTAAGGTAAGTATTGTTAGTACCTTTTTTGCTCCAACACATTGTTGACCTCGAAGAACATTTCCATTCGCTCGACATAATGCTTCCAGTCTGAGCCCGGTACAAACTCCTCAACTCGACCGATGAGCGAATTCACTACCACCGTATGTTGTGCCGTCGAATTCGTCGGTTCTTCTCCTTCAGCCATCCTCGTCGCCAGTTGGTGTGTCTTACTGCAGAAAAGTGACGCCAATCCTTGGTTAAAACGGCCGACCAAACTTTAACAATCACTACCTAAACTACAGTTACACAATATATCACAACCTCAATATGCATGCAACTTAGCTATATATGTTTACTCTCTGGGACCTCTCATGTCATGTATCTTACACCTAGTGATGGTTCCTATTATTTAAATCCTAATTCATTAACACTATAACATTAATTAAACCCTAGTTCATTAACACTATAACATCTCCTCCCGCTTAAACTACAAATTAAATTAACAGAAAAATAAGCAAAGCGCAAGAAACGAAGCGAAAACTATTCCGAAACGTGTAATTGCCGTAATTGAGAGTGTTCTACTGAGAGTTCAATGTTCAACTACATCTCTTCAATTAAACGTTTAGGTTTCGATCGAATTCTAGATGAACGACGTCTGGGCTCTTCAGGAACAGTATTATGCGTAACATCTTCTAGTGTAATACTCTGTCCAGGTGATGCGACTTCAACCGAGGGCTTGGTAGACTTCTCATTCGGCATAGACTGTTGTTGGGGCGATAGGTCTTGATTTGTAACAGACACACTTGCATCTACCTTCTCAGGCAAATCGATCTCTGGTAATTCACAGCTATTCGGCTGAACATCGGCTACCTTTGAGCCAGCTAGTTCTCGCAACTGATCGACATGTCTTTTCCAGAGCAACTTTTCAACTTGCACTCGGTATGTGACCGGACCCAGTCGATCTTGAACAACCCCCTTAGTCCAAGCGGATCCACGATTACGATAATCCTTCACCATGACAGGTTCACCAATCTCAAAACCGCGTCGAACCATGGGATTTATCCTCCTCGACTTTTTTTCCATCCGTGCAGACAAGTCGGGTCTAAGCAACTCAAGCCTTGTTCTCAATCTGCGACCCATCAAAATTTCTGCTGGTGGACACCCAGTGGCGGTATGGGGCGTGGTTCGGTAGCTCAAAAGGAATCGAGCCAATTTCTGCGTTTGGGTACCCGGTTCATTCTTCATGACTCTCATGGCTTCCTTAAATGTCCGAACTGCACGTTCAGCTTCACCATTGGATGCAGGATGATATGGTGACGACAAACACAGGCGAACACCATTGGAAGTTAAGAAATCTTTCATTTCNAACATGTGAAGGTGTAGTCTGATCGTCCGGGTGAGTGTAGTCCTGAGAAGGACTGTTGTCGGTGGCAGTGACAGTGACTCGCTGCCACCGACAACAGTCCTTCTCAGGACTACACTCACCCGGACGATCAGACTACACCTTCACATTTACCTTTAATTTGCAATGGTGTTTTTACCTTTATTGCATAGAATTAACTTCAACGCAGTGTTTTTCTTTCTAAAGTGTTTGAAATGTCACGACTTGTGAGAAGTGGAGCTTTGTTATTTTCAACGCGCGCCAGAAAGTCGCCTCTACCATACAGTGTTTACATTAGAAATTACCTCAATATAAGTGAACGTAAAATGAAACTTTCCACTTCTTTTTTAAAATCATAAGCACTGTATAAGTACGTCAAGGAGTTGGCTGGAAGACTTGAAATATTTTCATATTTATTCAACACTTTCGGATAAAGTTTGCAATAAACCTCGAAATCGGTCTAATTTAGTATGAAGTCGACTTAACCTAATTATAATTAAAGCCTCAAGGAATTCACTTTTGGATCTAACGGACTGACGACGAGGTCAGGCGTTGTTTACCGCTATAAACTATCTACAAAAACAAAATTTTGCGTTTTGTCTCCATCCAAGTACTTCTCAAATTAAGTACGTTCCTTGGTAAATCTTAGATAACTATCCCAAATTTTAAACTTGACTTCCCCTTCACAATATGCAATTGGATTTCACGTTAAGTAAAATAAATAAGCACAAATGATTAAGGGCCAGACGTCAGTTATCGCCCGGGTGGTTGGAGGATGTTTGTATTTGACTACTATATGGGAAAAACTAAAGAATATTACAGAGCCTTATAAGGGAATCTGGAAAATTTGATCCTAACACATACAAAATCCTTTCCCTCCTCTCACCCACTACAAAAAGTCCTTTCGTCTGATTTTCATTTCAGTTGTTTTGGGAGCCGTGTCTTCAGCACTTCCATGATTTAATCGTGCCCAGCGGATTTGATTAATAGAAGTATTTCCATGAGAGTAGATGCCATTGAGATTTGAGTCCGGAGCATGACATGTTTTCCAGTACCACCAGCCTCCCCCAAACGATGTACAATCATGGTAAGCTGGAGAGCTGTCCCAGGTATAAAATAACATGCCATTATGACGGGTTAGAGAGTCATGAACAGTTGAAGCTAAAAAAAGATGAGGAAAAAAATCATTTTTTTTTTTTACATTTATGGATAAAAACTATTCGCAATTGTTGAAAGCCTAGCTCTGGCCCATTTTTGTGTATAAAACGATGGGATTCTACTTATTGTGAAGGCGACATTTCAGAAAAAAATTTGGAATTCTAGAGCATCAAGGTACTGAATCAAATCCGAGCACTAGTTACTTTCCTGTACATCCCAGGTCCGCGTATCACCTGATTGATTCTATGCCACCAAATCACAGGCAACTCTCAAGTAAATGAGTTGTTCTCATGAGTGTGATATACATAACCAGATATGAATCACACTGATATTCTCAAGGCAAGCAGTCCTTTGGGAGACATTTGCTTTGAGATCTACCTTGTGTAAGGGAGGTGATAGCAACTGTCATTTATGACAATGTGAATTGATTAGGAAAGAGTAAATTGACTTACAATTCGAGAAACTGCCAATGTGCAGCGTGTAATTAGCTGTCTCGTTCTCAATACCGAACCATTTATACTCTGCGTAGACAGATTTATTGGCAGTTACTCCTAGATCCACGCGGAGTTCGTTTTCTGTTTTGTTTTGCGTCAGGCGTTGGATCTTGTCCAGTCCGAGCCAAAATTCACGAATGAGGAAATCACCGAATCCCTTTTTATAGTCGTTCCAGGTGAGATTGAAATTCATGGTGCCATCCACCCTCTTCTGGATCACTGTCCATCCTCCACCAGCTGTTGTCTGATCACAATAGACATCAAAGGCACCTAAACCATCAGGGTCGATTGTATAAACACCGCTGATGGATTGGCCGCACGTGTAAAGCTCAGCACAGTTCTTAACTGTTAAGGGATAAAAAATTAAATTTTTGTCATCGATTACGGGTATCAGGGAAAGGGAATAAGCGAGGAAAAGAAGAAATAATAGAAAATAAACTAAAAGAAAAAATGCAACGAGTAAGCGACCGTTAGTTCAGTTTTTTTGACAGTTCTGAACTCATGGAGGACGCTAGAGTGCAAGTAGAATTGTTCTTCGCAAGGAATCTCTGAATCCTAACGCCAACCAAGAGAAACGTTCTGCCAATATGTGATCAGCCGTCGTATTCAAGGAAATGAATGTAATCCAAGAGTTATCATAAAAGCATAGATTCTTACTCACATTTCTCGGATTTTCTGCTGTTTTTTTTGCAACTTATCGGAGCCGCACGGGTTGAAGGTAACAATTGAATCATGAATAAGAGTACCACACTGAGCAGCAAAGAAGAATTTTGTGAAACAGACATGATACGATGAAATTTCTCTCCCAACCTTAAAGCTGTAGATCTCGAAATGTACACGTAGCACAGTTGTAGATTGAAGAAATCTCAATGAATCGAACCTGTATTTATACTGCAGTTTCCTATGTTAAGGCGTAGGAACCATAGACGCGATGAGAATATGCTAGACGACAGTACAACTATATTTCTCGGAAG